GGTATATCCTCAACTCAAAACCATAAACTACAGGTATGAATGTGTGAGGTGAGGTGAGGTGAGGTGAGGTGAGGTGAGGTGAGGTGAGGTGAGGTGAAATGGGGTTTGACCTCGCGTTCAAGATTACTGCACTTATAAAGTGACGTGCATGCACGTATGTGTGTGTGTGTGTGTGTGTGTGTGTGTGTGTGTGTGTGTGTGTGTGTGTGTGTGTGTGTGTGTGTGTGTGTGTGTGTGTGTGTGTGTGTTTGTGTGTGTGTGTGTTGCTACTTGTGCTAGCTGGAGGAATGCCGGATTTATAGTGTTAGCCCGCTAATACCACACTGACTCTTAGCCGACCAGTCCTTGTTTTATCCTCCCAATGCCAAACGCCAGGCCGGGCGTCAGCAGGTTTCATTTTTTACGTAGTTTGGTATGACACGGCCGGGGATCGAACTAGCGAACTTCCGCTCTCCGGGCAGACGCTATATCCACCAGTGATCGAGTGATTGTGGTTTAACGTTACATCCAGCAGTATTTTAGAAGTATGACGGTGTGTCAACTTATTTTGAAGAAACGTCCAAAGTGATGCAGAACGTATCTGTCCAAATGAGGTCAAAACCACTGGCACAGATATGGTGCTGACAACCAAAGAATGCTAATCAGGCCGGATTTTGGTTCGAGCTCACTTCTTGCTAAGTTGAGGGACGCAATACTACACGGCGAACTGTGACCCAAGACGATTGGGCCACCTCTGTCCCCACACAACAAGAGCGGGAGATAGGAAGGAGACAGACTACATTCGATTGTAGGGTCTTTAGTTGAGCCATTGTGTACATTTGTGCTGATACATTCTGAACTTAATAGTTTCTGCTTTATCAGAGTTGACCTATCCATACGGTTCATAACGCGAAACTAGTTTATATATGTGTTATATATACTTAACAAATGACATGCCCATACATGTACACTGGTCATCATGCTTTAGAATGTTGACATGCAAGACATGTGTTTAAATCTCAAAAGGAATGCACATTTGCCGTTTTCTATTTAAACACGTTTAGTGTACATACACATGACATGAGACATCGTCTCACAGTCTAAACACCACATACACACAAACTTATCCACAATCTAAACATGTTTACAACAAAATTAATATCATTTACTATAACGTTAAATATTGACAGAATGTATAATATATTTTGAACAAATATGATTAACAAACATTATGCATACAAAAGAATTAGATCACAGTTGAGTCCACATCACAACTTTATAATATTCAACTTATATATAGAAGCTGAAAAATGAATGAGAAAAGTACAGGTGAAGAGGTTTTTCTTTATTAAAAACGGAATTGCTTTTTCTTACAACCATCAGCCACAAACACAGTGTGATGCAAGTCTTAGATCTTCACTGATTGATGAAATCCACGAGCATAGGTATGTTGCTGATTTTAGGAACATCACCAAGTTCAGATTGTTTACATATAATATTTATAAACAATGACCAATGTCATCTCAATTTATTACTTCGAAATACGTTTGCTCATCTGTTGTCTGTTAGACGATGGTTAGGCGCCGACTTGTTATAGTACGATCACGAGCCTAGATGCCCAGATATATGTCGATTCTGTTATATCCTGTATTGTCCTGGAATTGATTTGATTAAATGTTATTATTATTTCATCTCCACAAACAAGGCTGCAAAAGCGATATAACTTACTTTACTTATTGTCGGCATAACATATATTTTGTTGATCAAATGCAAGGCAAATCGCACGCACACACACACACACACACACACACACGCACGCACGCAAGCACGCACGCACGCACGCACGCACGCACGCACACGCACACACACACACACACACACACACACACACACACACACACACACACACACAGGCCTAGGGTGTTATTATTATGCACAATGTTTTGTTAGATACCCAAGAGCCAGAGCGACAAAAGGTGGTGTCTCGCTTTCCCTTCAGTCAATTTTTGGATGTATTGTGATATTTAAGGGAACATCGTCATTTCAGCTTTATGAATGAAATGACCATCTTTGTTGCACGAGTCATTGAACGCGGATAGTAATCTTGCTGAAACTTTGCACATTGCACAAGTAAAACATGTTGGTGACACATCCTGGTTCATTGATTGGGTACAGCGAAGGAAATTGGCTTTAAAAGAGTGTATGACAGAAAATGAAAAATTGCACCAATCACAGAATGCAGTTGCCCCAGACTTTGGAAAATATAGAAATATGATATCCCGACTTATGGAACGATATCGGCAAACGGATGGGGTTAAGATTAGCGCGGGTAGATGAAGGTCGAAGAAGATTCCTTAAAAGCTTCCATGCAGAATCGATATTGCTTTGAGGAACAAATTCATGTCTGAACCAGACCCGAGAGTTAACTGGATGCTCACTGGACATGCACCATATATCTTTATTTTGAAGATTGAATTCCACAACGTCATTTCATCACACTTCACTTCAATCATTGTTCCTTGTATATCTAATATACTTTGTATAGTAATATAAACGGATACATGTCTAACCATATTTAGCTACTAAACACTTCATAAACATGATTAGACTTAACGCGTCAAAATTATAGGACAAGAAACGCGCTTAGGTTTGTGTTGACGACCTTTTACATCCAATGGAATCTGTTTCGGTGGATTGTACGGTGGATGTTCTCTGGGGTTGAGGTTATATATTCACTTGATCGAAATGTCTGCTGGTGGACTGAAGTTTCTTCAGAACCTCAGTATCATTTACCAATTAGGTTGCATGTAGAGTCAACTACGCAAAAAAGGTTTGGGCCGAGAAATTATAAAACAGCCCCCACTGTGTTGCAAAACGAACATATTTCTTAAACGCTTTAGTTTTCTTATACACACCAGACGTAATTCAAAATTAACATCGATTAAAATCAGTATGTACGCTATCGTGTCACTGGATTTTCAGACCCGTGAAGATCCGGGGTAGAATAGGTCTTCAGCAACCCATGCTTGCCATAAAAGGCGACTATGCTTGTCGTAAGAGGCGACTAACGGGATCGGCTGGTCAGGCTCGCTATCTTGGTTGATGAATGTCATCGTATCCCAAATGCGTGGATCGATGCTCATGATATCAATCACTGGATTGTCTGGTCCAGACTCGATTATTTTACAGACAGTCCTCATATAGCTGGAATATTGGTGAGTGCGGCGTTAAACAGCAAACCAACCAACAAACCAACCCCTGGATTTCCATGTCCATCGATTATTTGTTTGTCTGGTTTGTTCACAGTAATAAGTGATAATAAAACACTTAGTTTTTTATGCAAATCGGTAGGGCATGACCTGTTTACCCTTTCAGCGACAACCCGATGTCATCGCTGATTTTATGTGATCCATTCATATGAGTTTAACTATCATTTTGCCTTTTTCACCAAATTGAATCGGCATGTAATCGAGACTGGATATTCTCTGGCGTTGACGCTTTATTTTTACAGTGTAGCTTGAGATGTACCTGTCCTGTTCTACAACGTAGATTTCCTTGATTGATGTTGATGTCTCAATTTGATGCATTGCCATTGATAAATGTCATGCATCGATAGTTCGATCAGTTCTAACACACCTGCATGTATGTGTTCATTCTAGTTAAGGCATCACTGGTTAGTCTTTGAAGCATGATTATGATGCAGCCAAACAATCAGTCAATACCTTTTGAGAATGAAGGACATAGGCACACATACAAAAAACAATTTAAAAGAAAATAATAATTATGGTAACATAATTTTAAAAATTCTTTATAAAATATTTTCTTCTCATGATTGATACACAAGCTTACTGATTTGATTCGTTCTGGATACCTTGGATATATCGGCTACATTCCCTCTGAACTACAGCATTAGGTGATTGTGGTGCAATTTGTAATAAGTTTTGTAAGCCAGTAGGTCAATCTCCTTTCAATTCTATTGTTTCCCCAAATTTCAGATGCATATAAAAGAATCGGACTCATCAGATAGTCAAATAATTTAAAGAATACTTCAGGGGAAGTAATGCCTAGCTTCTAGTAGTTGTAAGTAACTCAAATAAAGCTTTACATAAACTAAACTAAATATATATATATATATATATATATATATATATATATATATATATATATATATATATATATGCGCAAGAGAACAAGTGCAAGAGAAAATCCTTGATCATAATGTGTGAGAATAATGCGTGTTGGCAGGTGTGAAAGGACCTTTTTAAAACTCCTTTTCCAAAATACTTTGGGAAACGCTCAATGTTAATGTCAACCTTACTGCTTCCAGGTTTTTATACAGAGGCTCACTACAGTTATATGTGACAATTGGGTTTAACAATGTTGTGATCGGTTATGTATGTATCACGGCGTGTCAGTGTACAGCGGGGTGACTGTCCAAAGGGATGCAATATAAGCGTTGTCACTTTCGTTATACACACTGTACAGATGCCAAACTGCTGATACCACGTTTTACTTTGTGAAACCCAAATGACAAGGACGGCGCCCTGGACAACCCTTAGGATCAGATCCCGGGCGTAAAAGGGGTTGAACCCAATAACAGCGAACCCCACCAACAAGCAGCTTGGACAAATGGTGCTACACAAACGATGTATTCATTTTGTATATTTGAAGATAGAAATGGCTTGTATTTGCCAAAGTGTATGACAATCGTTTGAGTATCTCTTTAAGGACTGTGAACATCAATTTTTTAAACAGACACATATCGTGTCCTGAAAGTAAGGTTGTTCCAACTCCAAAAATACAACTTATGAGTAAGAGCGATTTGAAATTTGTAATGATAGTATTTAATACTTACACAATCAAAACATGAAACGTCCAAACCTGGTCAGTCTGTAGGTCAAGTGGAATGAAATGTCATACATGTTGGGTCATATATTAAACGTCAATAATTACAAAACAAATAAATATATATTTGGATCTAAACCACAGACTGGATTTCATTGGCTTTCTTTTGATTTCAGATACAAACATTCAGCGATGGAAAGAATCATGTTACACCTGCTGGAAGTATGTTAAACCTCTCCTGATGAATACTGTTTTTAAGCGAGACTTCTGTTTATTTTTGCTCAACCCCGCATTCAACAATGTGTCACCTTAGTATGTGAGGACTGTTAAAGTTATGCAAGTCTTAGACCTTCACAAATTAGTGAAATCCACGAGCTTAGGTGTGTTGCTGATCTTAGGGCCATCACTAGGTTCAGATTGTTTACATTATAATATTCTTTAACAATACTGGCCTACCTGGTACAATGTAATACGAAAATGACATGACAGATGTCATCTCAATCAATTACTTCGAAATACGTTTGCTCAATTGTTGTCTGTTAGACGATGGTAGATGTATGAATAACGAGCGTACAATGTTGATACTTTCCAAGGCAGGATGAGACATTTCAGTGCACGAGTGGATGGTACAGAACCGCTCATGTCACAGATGAGATTCTATCAGTAGGTGCCCCATCCGAGCATCATCGATCTGGGTCTTGGTGGATTAATTAATGATTCATACAGAAAGCAATGGCAACACATTGTAACAATAATTGTGTGAGCTTTGACGTACATAATAATGTAAAGTTTAACTGAATATCAAACATGTAATAATGTGTGTCAAAAGCGAACGTTATCCCATAACGAGTCAATTTATTTTTGTCATAAACAATATTTCGAGCAAGTCTTCAAAAAGATTTTATTTTTAAAATAAAATTGTATTTAATAGTTCGCATAATAGGCAACTGCTAATGGATGTCTTAGGCTTCTTACCAATCATCCAAATGAGCATGTTAAATGGCGCGTTGTTTGTTGTCTGCCGTCTCTCATTGTTCCAAATCGTAAATGCATAGAGGACCTAAAAGCTATAATATGCTAAAGTAAAACACTTTAGACATCAGAAACACTTACGAAAAATGTATAATTCGCACGTGACCAATCTCATCAGGGTTTCTTCTTTCTTTGTTTATATCAATGATCTGATCTGTGATCGGTTCAAATACAATGTGGTATTATTATGACCCAGCATACTTGGGAAAGCCTTTGTTAATATTCTGTGAATATATATTAATGTTTTAAAAAAGGGTATCAGAGTATCTCTTCTTTTGTGACGGGTGACACCGGTGGCGCAGGATACCCTCACCTTTTCGCGAACACTTGGTATCATCACTATGTGATTCATAAACACATGCTCATGATATAATCGGAATCTAACAATGGACTCTGCTCTTAACAGAGATTTCACTGGATTATGGAAATGGTTTTGTCGCTTTTATTTACATCTGTTGTATCGTAAAGGCTCACAATTGTGTGTATATATTTATTTATCAATGTAAATGTATTATTCTTTTTTTAACTATTCACTTGTTTATGAAAATACTAGCACCATGCATTTGCCCCGAGATAAATAAGACATATTGCAAATCTGCAGATGTAAATTCTGGCGGAAAAAAGAAGTTTATTAATTCTTTCATTATACTGGTATTTTAGCGCGTAGCCGGGGATGAAGTGGATAGCATTATCATGATGAAGTGGTTCTGCAATATGCGAGACTGGCACATATATAATGTATATGAAGGGCCTACTTAATGTTTAGTCGTGTCTTTAATCCGTAAAGGGTTGACACAGTCGTGGCAGGTTTAGAACTCCATTGTCATATAGAAATCACGTGTATTCCGCAGTGACGTTACAATGACAAGTCCCAGTTTTAACCAAGGTTTAACTCTGCCCCTGGAGGAGAGACGTTGTCATATCGATTTAGCAATCTAACGTCGGGAGCAATAGCGTGAGATAGGCAATTATAAAATAAACTGTGTCAAAATATGATTGTTGTATCACCATAACCTTTGTTGTTCAGTTCAAGCTGCCGATGTTAAATGTTCGGGGTAGAATGAACTTCCCTTATCTTTATGTACTATAGGGTGTCATATATCTTTTTGATATTGATCAGTTCTCTGTAATACGTGTTTCACTGCCTGTGACCCCTTTTCGGAATGTTCGAAGAGAGCTTATACCTATTTGACCCATATTCCCATGTTTAATATATGCGTTCCAAAATAGTATGCCAAAGAATTCGGTACTGTATTTGTAGCATAATTTCATTACGTTTTCAGACAACGATAGTTTAAGGACAATCAAGACACAATACACAATTATCGACAGTATTCTTAAATGCACCCTTAAATCTTGACAAGGAAATGTTTCATTCATAGCTCCTGGAAAGGTAGAAAATCTTCACATCGATCACATACAAGACAATTTTACGAGTGTGGAAGTCTTCTTCTCCTGTCAAAACGAAACCGAAAGACACGGCGACATAAAATACTACTTACTGTCGTATGAAGCTCAGGTATGTCTCATTAAAAATAAAAATGTGATTACACTTGAACAGAGTTGTATTACTTTAATTACAAAAAAAGTGTACGAATAACCAATGACTTCTTCAAATTTACTCCAGCTCAAACCTGCCTAGATAACAGATAATGCATTGCCGTGCATCATGATCAGGTATAGATATACCACACATACATATACGCACGCACGCACGCACGCACGCACGCACGCACGCACGCACGCACGATCACGCATACAAGCACACAAAGAAACATGGTGGTGGTCTTCCACTTTAAGTTTACAGTGTTTCGGCGACTATTTTCAGGCTAGTAACGATTTGATAACGTTTGTAATGTTTTGGTCAAATCTAATTTTTAAGTGTATACTTTCGTTTGCCCGGCAGTTTATATACACAGTTAGGAAGGAAGATTTAGGAATAGGGTGGATATTTATGATGAGTACATATGCATTGAATACAATGTATATCGAGTATGATTATTCCGTTATATTTTGACAGCGAGAACATAACCACAACGTGACAGAAAATACCCAAGGATTAAACATTTTAGCTGAACCTGAGTCGAACTGTAACTACTCCCGGGTTGTACCCATCACAGCACAAGTACACTACATGTTCTCGGTGAGTTAGGGTAAACTGGGTGTACAAAGAAGGCTCACTATTGTGTGTTCTCGTATGTAAATCATCCCGTTCCCCTTTAATAGCAAAGCACTAAATATCTCATTTGAAGTAAGCTGAACACTACATTATCCTCTTCAATTTCAGGTTGTAGCATAAGATTCTTTTGCTTGCAATGTAGCAAATGTCAACTTCAGTATAAGCTTTCAATACAGTTCGTGTGAGGCACGCTTAGAGTGAAACGTGATGTACATATTCCGTAACTTACCTTCACCACAAACTGTGTGATGAACTTGATTTGATTACAGGTCCGTGCATTTAACAAATACAATGGAACCGTTTCTGAAAAGAATTATACCACGCTTACTGGAGGTATGTTAAACTGTTCCATAGATGTGTCATATGTAAATATTTGATTACACTGTGCTCGTAATAGTTTTGAAGTGAATGGTCAACTTATGTTTAAGTTTGTTCAATTATCGCATTGAGTGAGTGAGATCGGCTGAACACCGCTTTTGTCAGCATGTCAGAGTAATTTATGAGGGACATTCCAACAAAGAGGTGTCTACACAACATGCTTAACTTCTGTGTGTTCAATTATAACAGACCTCCAAAAATCTCCGAACAAATTAAATACAAACGTACCATGGTATGCAGTTCAAATGTCTTCATATCACCATACGACTCCAGTATCTAATATATACGTATCTCATGTTCATGTACGTCCTGCTTTCTAACCCTCTTTCATCATCATATTGTCAAGAGCCGTGACCGACAGGAACCACCTATTCGTTTAACTACTTTAACAGCCTCGGGTAAAGATTAGCCCTCTCACAATGCGCATGAAATATTACCAGATTGAATCTGCACTGTTTATGCACCTGTTGTAGTAGAGAACGTGGATGTGCGAAAGGACTGGGGGTATATGCCGGATATCTATTTGCGTCATATGTATTTGCATAACATGAATGTAGACCGGTCTGAACTACCATGTTCGTTTTCCTAGCGTCCGGCCCTGTGGCTAGTTTGGATGTACTGAGTACAACGGCAGATTCCATCAGTATACAGTGGACCAGGCCATCACTTCCAAATGGCAACATCCTTGGGTATCTGATAAACGTTAGATCGGACGGTAAACATGAAAGAGTTATAAATGTGACCTGTGACCAGCCTTGGGGCGGCGTGAGTACAACCACCAGTTACTCTTTTTCATTTTCTGACCGTTAAATTATGATAAAGATACGTTCATCATGGAAATACATGATTGTCTTTTGGTTATTGAAGCACATTTGTCTTCCACAAAAAGATATGGTCTGCAGAAGTGAACGAAAACGAAATATCTACACACTAACAGGATAATTACAATGGATATATATTTCATGTTACAGGACAAACAGAACTGTAAAGCAACGGACACTTCAAACACGAAGAGTGCTCCTGTTGTCCTCCAAGACAGAAATGTGCTGTATGACTACTACATTGAAACCTTACATTCCTACACTAACTACACAATAGCTATATCTTGTGTCAACATAAACGGAACAGGGGAGGGGAGGAACATCACAGTCCAAACCAACATGACCGGTACGTATGATGGAGTTAATGTTAATTCTACAATGACACTGCTTAAGTTTGATTGATCAAAATGTGATTAACATTAAGTATCTAATATAAATTAGATGCATCACAATTTACAAGCCTTTTCACATTCAAAGCATTTGTGAGAAAACGTCGGCCTGACGATAGCAAGCCTACATAGCGATGCATGTATCAATGACTGCAAATAACCAATAAGTACTGTACACGTTCGATATGGGAACAACGACATCAATAAACAGAACATGCACGCTCAGATTGAATCTGCCCTGTGTGTGCACCTGTTGCAGCACAGAACGTGGATGTGCAAAAGGTCTGTGAGTACGTGCCGGATATTTCAGCGTTGTCGCCATTGACATGGCTTCATAAAACTGACGCTTCAATATGACACATTTCACTATGAATCTGAATCTCATATACGCACAATATCATAATCGACCAGTCTCATATATACTCTTCAAAAGAGTACGGAGTACTCAGAAATTACTTCCAAACTTCCAAATTCTCAAACTTGTAAGATATATCAGTTTCTAGTTATGGATATTTTTATAATTATAATAATGAACGAATTAGGAACCCGATACAACCAGTAGTGAAGTATGACATCATGTTATGACCACCAACGATGTTGAAGGACGATAGTAGTAAGATGGGAAATTTCAAAGTTTTTGGATCAGTAGTTCGTTATACCTCCACGATTTGACAACAATTCATTCACTCGACGAGGCATACTGCGTATGAGTATGAGTCCCCCAATGTCGATTTGAGGGAGTCTGTTCCACTACTCTTGCAGCGCCTGGTACAGTTTGTCAAACGTGGTTGGCGGCCAATGGCGTTGGCGCACACGTTTTGCCATTGAACAGCCGTGTTCAACGTGGGAATGGTCTGGGCTCATTGTTGGTCATGGATGTTGTGCTGCTGGAGCATGGACGTTGTCGTACGGAAAAAAACTCACGTCAACCCACATTCCTTGCAAACGGACAAGAAAGGATGCCAGTAGGTTGTCCCGATGACCCTTCCTTACACAATATGGAGTGGGGTTCACTCAGTCACAGTGATTCCCAAAAGATAACCTGTCAAGAGATCTCAGGTTGACATAGTCGTGACGTTCATTTCGATATCGCAAGACAAAACCACCTAATCAAGAAAGTGCAAAGTGAATCGGGACTCATCTGAAATATGACCCGTGGCCGTCGAGCATGGAGCTGCATGTAGACGATTTTTAATCACCTGACCCGAAAATCGTACTCCAGTAGCCTGATGAAAGTTTGCAGCCATTTGAACTCGATTTCGTAGATCCTGGTTTCGAATTAATCGATCATATACAATTGTCGTTGACATAGGACAGCCTGAACGTGGTCGATCGTCATTGCTTTGGTTGTTGGTACCTGTTCCATAGTCTAATAATCACAGACTGTGAAACATTGAACGTATTGGCCACTGCACTCTGACATCTGTCAGTTTTCAGCGTGCCAATACCCCATACCCTTCCTGTCCTACACTAACTACACAATAGCTGTATTCTGTCTTGACATAAACCTATTCTAACCCGGATCTTCACGTGTTTCTATTTCAGAACACGCACATTTAAGTAAAACATATATTAGTGCCACAAATCTAAAAGATGCAAGTAATGGCGTTTATAACGACTGCCTGGTAGGTAATGTAACTCGCAATGCAGCATGCTTCCAAACATATACACCTGTTAATGTCAATATTTTGTTTAGCAGTTGCATCACCGCCAAAGGGGTTGCAGGCCTTTGTGAACAGCTCCTCAAGTGTGACCCTGTGCTGGACCCCCGCCGACCACCAGGACGGACCCACTACCTATTACATTACAGTAGGGGAAGAGACCAGCCTGAACTCACATACCTTCCAAGACAAAGAGTATGTCACTGTCAGTGGTATGTCTTTTATTGAAGATAGTTTGCTCTTATCATAACATGACAAGACAATTGTTTGTATCCTACCTCGATCACGAAAAATATTTGTTTACATTGAAACGTTGCCAAGTTTTTGAAATATGACAAATATGTATCGATGCTAAAAGGAGTGCTGAACATGTTTATTGGTCGTTGATACAGAGATAGAATGAGTAGGCTGAATCTCCTGAATCTCCTGCCTGCGTGTTACGTTAATGGGAAAGGAAAGCACAAGTGACGGCTCTCGATAGTTGATGTTAAGCATTTGCAATCTGGTCAGAGTATTGACACACTGACGATCATCGGCAGCATATCTAAAGATATAAACAATTAGAGAGTACCTATAAACTCCGTTTTCGTGTGGCACCTACTGGATTCAGTATTGATGCATTGATCTGTCAACCATCGGTAATTACCTTCCTGTTATCAGATCTTAGAATTATCTTCATCCCTTTGACTAGTCAATGCCTAGATGTTTATATTCCAGCCAATATTCTGACTATAAATTGTAATACATATATTTTTTTTCCTTGTTCATAATAGATATGAAATAGCCTGTAACCGGAACAAAAAAGTAACTTAACATGCACGTTCTTGAGCATCATATAAAACACATCTGGTATTTGATAACTACGTGCGGGTAGGATTGACACACATTTGCTTACCTTATATTTATACCTTATTTTACATCAGGTTTTCAAAATACATGCGTCTTGGTTGAGGGTCTCCTGAGTTACTGGAAGTACACCTTCAACATAACAGCAGCTACTCCAGTTGGCAACTCAAGTGTCGTGTCTCTGAACGGAACTGTCAGGACAAACGAATCAGGTATAAAATGACATAATTGTTATGACATAATCTTTATTCTTCTTTTTGTTTCAGCTCACAAGGAAAGTTCGTTATTTCAAATATAATATGCACAGACCTACTGAACAACAGTAACCTAAAGAATGGCGAGAATGGTTAAGAGTTGTATAAGTGTTCGAATTCTGTCCTCCGGAATTCTGAAACAGCTCCCTCTGGCGGTCAATGATTGGAAGAAGGTGAGGTTGAAGAATTTGATTCATGTAGCGATTTGCTGTCAAAGTTTCCCTGACAACAACCAAGTCAAATCTCCCCCCCCCCCCCCCCCCCCCCCCCCCCCCACCATGACACTACCGCCACCTAAATTGTCGATTTCACGTACACAATGTGGGGTAAAACGCTCATTTCGACGACGAAAAACACGTTGTCTTCCATCTCGCTGCTGAAGAAGAAATCAAGGTTCATTGCCAGACCACACTCGTCTCTAGTTTCTCAAATTCCAAAGCTGTAAGGTATGGCACCAACGCAAGCGTCGCTGTCGATGGATCTGTCGCAAAACAGGACGATAACGGGTCTTTTGGGTCGGATTCCAACCTCGCGAAGATGGTTCCTGACAGTCTGGTCCGATATCCTCCTCAAACCAGGGATACGTCCTGCAGTCCCCGTAGCTGTGGCATTGCGTTGACGTTGGTGGAACAGTCGAATGTAGCGATCCTGTGCAGTGGTGGTAACTCTTGGTCGGCCTGTTCTCGGACGGTCTGCAGTGGAATGGTGCTGTGGTGGACAGAAGACTACGATTCCCCTCTTACGTCCCATGGCTATTTTCCAATCGGCAACGCTGAGTCTGGGCATTTGTGAACTTGAAAAATGTTGTCAATTGAATGATAAATTATTGGCTTATGCTTGCCTTTTTACAGCCACTATCACGAGTTACGAATGCCATAACTTGCACGTGCATTTTGCTTTACTGTTTACTGCTTTACATTTTTGAACAAGTGTGAAAACAATGCCGTTTAAGTCATTGCAAATCGACAATGGCTTCGTTTTGACGCACCGTTTGTTGAATATCAGGTCACCAACATTTTCCAATAACATAAATCCAATTTGTATATCGGATTTTTTGTGAAATCAGGTTAAATGAACTACATACTGCGTGTCTTGTTTTGAAGAGTGAAAATTTTTACCGTATCAATAAAGAGCGTGTTTCATTCATAGCTCCTGGAAAGGTAGAGAATCTTCACATCGCTCAGATTCCAGACAACTTCACGAGTGTTGAAGTCTTCTTCTCCTGTCCCAAAGAAACAGAACGACACGGCGACATACAATATTACATACTGTCGTATGATGCTCAGGTATGGCAAATATGGGCTTACGCTTATTTAATATTTTTATTACTTTAATCACACACACACACACACACACACGCACACACACACACACACACACACACACACACACACACACACACACACACACACACACACACACACACACACACACACACACACACGCGCACGCACACACACACACACACACACACACACACACACACACACACACACACACACACACACAATGTTGATGGTATTGTATTTGATACGGGTGTCTTGTACCTTAAGTTTGCAGTGTTTGGATGACTATTTTCAGCTTAGTATAGTTTTGATAACGTTTGTAATGTTCTGGGTTTGGGTTAAATACAATTTGCAAGTGTATACTTTTTCCCCCTGCAGTTTATAGACACAATTGGTGAGGAAGGTTTATGAATAGAAGGATATTCATGACGAGTAGATTGAATTGTGCATTGAAAATTATATATTTTGTGTGTGATTATTCTGTTACATTTTGACAGCGAGAACATAATCACTACGTGACAGAAAATCCCCAAGGATTAAACATTTCAGCTCAGTCGAACTGTAACTACTCATGGGTTGTACCCGTCACAGCACAAGTAGACTACATGTTCTCGGTGAGTTAGGGTAAACTGTGTGTACAAAGAAGGTTATGTTCTCGTATGTAAATCATCCCGTTCCCCTTTAATACTTTTATAACCCCAATGAACTTAGCACTAAATATCTCAGATGACTCCATACACTTCTCTTGTAAACAAAGTAAAACTACATTCCGTTGACACTGGATAGAAGGACACCACGCGTCCAAATGGGTACTTGATAATTGTTGCACTTGTTTAGATGTACATATGTGAAGGGTGGCATCCTATTGAAGCTCGGAAACCAATCTATCAGAAAAAGATAGTTAAATCCTAAGCTATATACCGCTTGGAGGATGGGTACTGGTTATTTATGATATGTATTTCAAGTTAAGTGAACACTACATCATCCTCTTCAACTCTGGTTGTAGCATATGATTCCTTTGCTGGGGATGTAGCAAATGTCAACTTCAGTATCAACTTTTCAATACAGTTCGTGAAACGCGTTGTACGTATTCCTTAACTTACCTCCACTACAAACAAAGTGACAAACTTGATTTGATTACAGGTACACGCATTCAACAAATACAATGGACCCGTTTTCGAAAAGAAATATACCACGCTTACTGGAGGTAAGTTAAACTGTTCCAAAATGTGTCATATGTAAATATCACACCATGTTCATACTTGTTTTAAAAGTGAAAGGGCAACTTATGTTTAAGTTTGTTCAATTAGAGCACTGAGTGAGTGAGTTTGTCTGAACTCTGCTTTGAGTACATACCGGATATCCAATTGTAGTCATAGCATTATAAAACAATATGAAACGAATGAAACATTTTGTTCATAGGTCCATGTCTTATATGTGCATAACACGAATACTTACGTTTCCCTAGCGTCTGGTCCCGTGGCTAGTTTGGATGTATCGAATACAACGGCACATTCCATCACTGTTCGGTGGACCAAGCCATCACTTCCAAATGGCAACACCCTTGGGTATCTGATGAACGTTATATCCGGCGACAAACATGACAGAGTTATAAATGTAACCTGTGACCAGTCTACGGAAGACGTGAGCATAACCACTGGTTACTCTTCCTCGTTTTCTGATCACAACACGATGTGAAAGCTCCATTCATTCTGTCTTAATGGAAATACATATACATGTTTATCAGTTTTTTATGGTTTTAACTCACGTTTGTCATCGACAATAAAATGCAAAGTATAAAGAAGAGAATGAAAGCGTACAATTCTCCACAGTTACAGTAAAATTGCTATGATTCCGTCTGTGGATACTTCTATATGTGTAATTTCATGTTACAGAGAAAGCACGAATTTAAAGTAGTTGACACTTCAAATACGAAGAGTGCCGCTGTTGTCAACCAAGACGGAAATAAGCAATATGACTACAATATTACAGCCTTACTGTCTTATACTGACTACACAATAGTAATATCCTGTGTTAACATAAACGGAACAGGGGAGGAGAGGAACACCTCTGTTCAAACAAACATGACTGGTAAGTGTGATGATGTTAATGTTATTTCTACCATGACACTGACGATACCTTGATTCTGATTGGTGAAACTATGATAAAATCAGGTATCTACTTCCAGAGAACTCGAAGAAGTGCATGTATAGCTTTGGCAGTAACATACAGTCAGATTTTATCGATAGCCCGGAGATGGAATAGGCAGGTTTGGCTCAGACGATTTCCTCGAGTCTCCATGGATAAGCTGGCATCAGTGTATAATGCAGGATCTTTGACAGAGTTAAATATTTTGATGCTGGCATCTGCGACGTCACTGCTATCTCTGTTGTAACATTCCCAGCCTGATGTGAAGTTCAAACCAAGACTGCCCCCGGCTGACTGTTATTGAGTTTCAGTATACACTGCAAACACGAAAACGTCGTTTTTTTCCGTATATGGTCATTGGACGGAAAAACGACTAAAAATTCATTAAAATTGATTAATTGGTCAGCGTCTAGAAAGTGTCCAGAAAAGGGTCGAGTTTTTCAAGCGTAAAATGGACGGAAAAACGATGCTTTTTGCTCCGCCTTGTACAACTGTTAACGGCCAATCAGATGGCGCTGGTCCCCCGACGCACGTGATGTCCAAGGCTTCCTTTCGAAAGCTTTAGGTTTCGTATTTCTGGCTTGCCTTGCTCTAGTATCTGTCGCGCGCAGTGCAGCGAGATTTGCTGATAAGCTAGTTTTAGGATATGTTACATGTTAATGGAATTCAGACACGCGCCAAGAAGTCAAACCAAACAATGTTACTAAGTTTATTGTGGTAACGGCTATGTACAGTTACCCCTATCGGATAATGGGTTGTGTTTCATTTTGGGATAACAATAACTAATTTTTAAATGTGAAGTTTACAAGATATACGACTTGGACGCGAGGTCGGTCACATGACGTTCTTCACGTGACTGTATTCTTGAAAAGGCGTAAACACTGAGTACTTTCACATTCCTGGGGAAAACCCTTGGAATTCCCTGGTACGAATTCATACAGAAGCGTGGTTGCAAGCCCATTTAAGGATACCCTCGCTACAACCCATCCCAGAGAGAAAAAACACGAAAAAAAATCCAAACTGTCGCAGTGACAATTTACAGAAATCTATGAATTTACCTTAGTATCTATTTGACACATCTTCACAATCACCTTTCAGTGATCGGCCAATTGATCAGTGATGCCAAAGGCTTGAAATAGCCACAGGTTAATTAACAACTTCGAAAATATCTCCCGTCACGTTTATCGTGTCGGCCATTTTGACGTATTGTACTTGATGTAAATGTATTACGACGCTCTGTCATTGTAATTGACTTACTGAGGTATTTCTGTAGAAGATCTTCTCATCTTATGAGGATATTGTTTGGAATATATTTCTTGTAAACATACTAAAACATATGTTCCTCGCTTTCGGGGAACTATTTTATTCCGGGGTGGCCAATTAAATCTAGTAGTAAGTCAAGGCACCATGCGTGATCTGTTATTTTATGTGTTTAAATTACGATTTGGGGCGTTAATAAAATACACTGACGCAAGTATATTCTATTCAAATCAATTGGATAATTGAATATGCTTTCTTTTACATATTACATAACACCACTGCACAAATTATGAACAGTTGCAGTAACACACTACGGTAATCGCATTAAACATCATTTTCAACTGTACAGTATTTCAGTATTTCAGTTATATCATGGTGTATCAGACTGATGTGGGATAAAAATCCGAAGTGGTTCAAGTCCTCCAATGGGTGTTCGGGAAAAGGTGAGCGTATCCTGCCACACAAGTGGCACCCGTCACAAAACATGCATGGACAAGTCAATTGTTCACCTGAACAAAGCACGGAAACACACAATGATGCCCGCCCTCAGTTTTACCGAGCATGTAAATTATTTTGTCCGTCAAAAACATGGACGAGTATAAACAATATGTTCATTCACGTAATACATGCCATACATTTGACAAAATGTATTGACTCGGAGCATTATTGTTAATCACAGCGTATGCAGTTGAACTCATCACCCATCCCATTATTGATAACCCTTCTTGAAGATCTATGAAATCAGAAGCTGCAACACTCTATCTTTTAACTGGAATGTCAGACTTCTATTTCATTACTCAGTTTTATTTGCACGGATTACTATGGAAGGGACAGTGTCTCGTTGTCGCATTGTCGCATAGACGCCTTTACAAAAACAAGCAAAACGTGTCAAAATTAACAAAAGCGCGACAATTGGCCATTTGTCGCATTGTCGCGTGTTCGCAGTGTCGCTCTTTGATAATCCTTTTCTTTATTTTACAAAAGGGCGACGATGCCGTAACGCGACATTTTCAAGGTCAAAATATGTCTCGTTGTCGCATTGTCGCCCCATCACAAATGTGTATAAAAGGCGTAAAGTTCAGTTATTGTTACAGTTAGAAAGTTCAACCTGATAAATGTACGTCTTGAAATGAAAACACAAGTCCGTCCGCTAGTCCATAACGTTTTATTGTGAGCTCTTCTCTAAAAGTGCTTAGTGTTCAACTCCCAGTTCCAAACACGTAGTACTTCCTCAATAATCCACATACCTCCAGTGCAGTGGTCATCCGGAAGATCTTACTCTTGACCGTATTAGACAACTGACGAGTGCACGCCTGACCTGTGACCTCGTTGCAACCCTCGTGATGTGTTTGCCGAAGGGAGAGGTGTAGGAAATGTGTGCTCCAGCCCAGCGCAGAGCTCGCGACACACTGTATACTGATGTATACAGTATATTGCAGTTGATGTACTGTATACTGCATGTGATACTTATTTGCGGACATGTTACAACTTTCAAGATTCAAGATTCAATTTGCATATATTTCATATACAACAGACCGCCGTCATATATCACTGGAATACTGCTGAGAGCGGCGTTAAAACAAATTGTTTTCATAATGGAGCGCTGCAGTCATTTCAAATAGAACCGTATACATATGTACATGTAGTACCAACTCACTCTATTTGTTTCGAATATTCAGCAGAAAATATATTATTAACCAGGTCTTAAAAAGATCTGAAAAGATATCAGATTTTTATAAGCAGCCACATAGGGATGATAAAGGACCCCTCGCTGATTAGGTTCTTGTTTACTTAAGAGCAGAGTTGGCCATGTTAGATGATATAACCAAAATCCAGGCGCTCCGGCGGGGGGCAAGCTGGTCTTGTTAGTGTATGGTATGAGCTGTGACGTTGACCCAAGAGAATAATGTAAAACATGAGACCAACTCAAGTCTATAATGATTGGGAAAGTCTAGATTTCCACAGCTCTAGCCGGAAATTAAGAATTGTTCTATGCTCCATTTTAATTGTATTATTTTCATATTGTAGACATGGATGGACCAACCAGGAAAGAAATTGATGGAATATTAATATTACATGTTACCACTGATCCAGTTAAATTCATCATACAATAATAAATTAGTATTTGACATTACGGCATTTGGTTATTAGGGCATGATCATGTACATGTTCACTGTAGTAATGTACACACCAGTCAACTTGATTATAATTTTTATCAAAGTGTAGCGCGGCATCAACGATTACTTTATGATATCCTCACTTGTCATCGATGTATTGACATCGAACAATGGACGGCAATTCGAAATTCTTATGGATAGCTTCAATAGGGACAGCGCTGGTGTCAGTACACTTCTCCTAGTTAAAATAAGTATCTACAAAATATAATCTGAAGCAAACAAGAACAATATTGTTTTATTAATGCTTACTTTCATGGATAGAATTAAGGCAATCTAGGCTTGCCAAATCGTTCTAGACTTGAGCTGGATTCCTTTTAAATTTATTCTGTATGGTCTGGGAGACGAACGGGCGTCAGTATCGCATGGAGAACTGGGACAGCCTTAATCAGTGTAATCGGATATGTTGTGGATTTTCGGTTTGGGGCTGTTTGCTGAATATATAGAATTGCGAGTTATGTATACTCTGTATTCTTTCGTCATGGTAGCATATATATTTTCTATGTTGCTTTTTGAACTATCCACAAATAATGAGAACTACAATGTGAACCTCTCTCTGGAGATATGCAATAATACTACTGAAGGGCATATCTAAAAAAATGGGACTTCTCGACAAATATTTCTTTCTTAAATACTACCCGTTACAGGTATTCTGATCATTATATCATACTTTGTACAGTTTAAAAGTCAAATAATGGCAAATTGTGTATCTTTCTACATTTTGAATTAATTATATTTTCTGAAAAAAAACCTTAGCATCAGATAGTGATATACACGAATATGATCTATACTATTATAAATGAATTATCAATTTTGTATTATGAATTAGATAAACAGAAATATGATAGTAAAACAAATTATTTTAATCTATTCTTGTGAGTAGGTAACGAGAGATCGAGGCAACGGACTAACGTAGCCATTTATGAAAAATGAAATATTAAAATTTTAGGGGTTTGATCATGCACATTGAATGACAGGGAAGAAAGCAACGCAATAATTAAATTATGAATCAAATTATGTTATAAATATAACAGAATATTTAGAAAATATAAGTTTAATTTCTCATTGTTGGAAGGTGTTTAATAATTATATAGATTTTGTTTGATTGTTTGTTGTTTAACGCCGCACTCAGCAATATACCAGCTATATGACGGTGGTTCGTAAATAATCCAGTCTGGACCAAACATTTAGTCATTATCATCAAGAGCACCGATCTACGCATTTGGGATACGATGACATGCATCAACCAAGTCAGCGAGCCAAGTCGCCTTCGTAGAAGCATGGGTTGTTGAATGCCTATTCTAACCCGGATCTTCACGGGTATTTTTTTTAAATAATAAGGTACAATGAAATTCTGTATATGTCCATAATAAGTGTGTATAAGTAGATGGATAATATGTCCATACACGCCAAGTAAATGGTATATGCATTAATTTAAATGCAAATGATTCAATGATGAGTTCTTTCACAAGTCCAAATTTTCAAGGCATGTATTTGATATTCATAATA